TGTTCTTGTTTCCTCACACAGCTTAGCTCCAGTCATGCAGTGTTGCGGAGGCGGCAGCAGCTGCCAGAGCAATTTTATCGGCCACGCTAATCAGATCTCCAGTGGCCAATCAAAAGCTCTGCTGGGCAAAAGTCCCACCTGTCCCCTCCCACTTTCTAACAACACCCGGAGGGCGCCAGGAAAGGTGCTGGTGGGAGCCGTCGTGCCCAAGGGCACCACACTGTGGAACCCGATTTAAACGAATTCACATTATGAAGGTAATGCTGCCTATAGCATACCGGAACCGGTTCAAGGTGCTGGTTCTTGCCTTTAAAGCCCTCTATGGACAGGGACCTACTTACCTAAGGGACCGCCTTTCCCCACATGTTCCCCAGAGAGCACTAAGAACGGGGTCCCAAAGCCGCCTGGCCCTCCCAGGGCCTAAAGAAGCCAGGCTAGCAGTGACGAGGGCCAGGGCCTTTTCTGTGGCGGCCCCTAACTGGTGGAATGAGCTCCCAGATGACATCAGGGCCCTGCAGGACCTTTTACAGTTCTCCAGGGCCTTTAAAACGGAGCTCTTCCACCAGGCTTCCGATTAGGGTGCCGCCTCCCAATACTGTGGCCCTGGCCTAGCACTAGCTTAATATCTTATAGCCTGGCAAGAACTCAGACTGTGGTGGCCATTTGACGATCGAGATGCTGAGACAACGCCGCCACCATTTGTTAGCACTCGTTTGCCCGTGCTCTGGTTTTAACTTTATTACTGCTTTAATGCCTTAATGTATCTCGCTGTTTTAATATGTTTATACTTATAAGTACGCTGTAAGCCGCCCTGAGCCTGCCTGGCAGGGAGGGCGGGATACAAATTAAATAAATAAAATAAAATAATAAATGAGAATTAGAACAAGAGAAAAATAAATTACAGGCGTGAGGGCCAAATAGGAGTCCAGTTTCTTTTTCAGAGGCACGGCCTGCTTCTTTATCTCCGCCAGTTTCTGTGGGCAGAACGCAAAACATTATTTCAAACTGGGTCCAGAACCAACATGCAATTAAAGCCGGCTTGTGGTTATCCAGATACTTTTCAGTCACGTTCTCTGGCACAATTGTCCTCTGAAGAAATATATTAAAAAGGTGGGGTAGCCGTGTCGGTCGTGAAGCAGCAGAAGAAAGTTTGAGTCCAGCGGCCCCTTTAAGACCAACAATGTTTTATTGCAGGTGTAAGCTTTCGTATGCACACACACTTCCTCAGATACAGTGGGACAGAACCTCTTCAGCCATTACTTATAGGGGGTGGGGTAGGGATTGTTGTCAGGAAGGGCCATTTAGAGTCAAGATACCTAAGTACCGGGTGATTTTAGCTGAGACTGGAGTACTGGGTGGTTTCAGCCGAGACTGGATGTAAGAATCTCCATCTCCTGGAAGTCCCAGGCCCCCGAAGTGTGAAGTTTGCCCAAACTAAGGCCAGGGCGTTTTCGGTGGAGGCTCCTACCTGGTGAAACGAGCTCCCGGAGGAGATCCGGGCCCTGCGGGACCTTGTACAGTTCCGCAGGGCCTGCAAGACGGAGCTCTTCCGCCAGGCCTTTGAGTAGGAGCTGCAGCCGCCACTATTCCACCACGGAGATTCCATCATCCATCTACCCCCTTCTGGGGGGGGGGGGAAGATGTCGCCCGGCAGAGATGGGGAGAATATCATTCCTGGTGCTCATGCCATTAAAAAGGTCGGCCGCCAATGTGGAATGTTGCGCATCTTGGTGATTTTATGTAGATTATCAGAGCACCGATTTTATTATGTATGTAATACTGTTTTACTGTTTTACTGTTTTAAATTCCGCATTGCCGCTTGTTAGCCGGCCTGAGCCGCTGGGTAGGGCGGGATATAAATCCCAAAAATAAATAAGTAAAATGCATAGCAGTAAATTAGAATACAAATACAAGAGTTATCGAACAGATGCGGGAACAAGGTTTAAGTCCTGTGGCATCTACAAGACAAATAAAGTTCAATTCGGGATACGAGCGAGAACGGAGAGACTTCGTAAGTACACTCCATCATATTCATTGAAACAGATTTCCTCAAATGTAACATATAGGTAGGGGTGGTTAGTTGCCTGGAAGAGCTAGTTAGGTTATGAAAGTTATTTAAATCTTAACTTTCCAGTTTGCACTGAATCTGAAAGGGAAAAAAAACAAATGAAGAAAACATTTACATTCGGTTCTCATCTCTTACTAGACAACTCTTATTCACTTATTCATTCATCGGCTCCTCCTGGCAACTAACACCCCCCCCCCCGCCACACATACTCTTAGGTAAAGTCTTAATGAAAGCTGTTTCAATGTATGTGAAAATGTGTGCATACGCTGAGTCTCAGTTCTCTCTCTTTTTTTTTCGGGCCCCCAAAGGGGAATTTTTTATTTGCATTTCTATAAAACTACAACAGAAAATGGGAAGGGAAAATTCTACATCTAAAGGAGAAAGTCAAATGAACCTAACTGAAAACCCAAGTGTGCAGGTTTTACAATGCTTAAAACATAGCTATTACACTTATTCAAATATTTTCAAACATGAAGAGTGCCCGCCAATCATCGCTTCTGTTGACAAAACCAGCTTATCAGACTAGGCAGAAAGTAATTCTATGTACACAGGGTTGAGCTTGGTTTGACTCGGGGACACCGCTGGACTCTAGCTTCATTCTCACATCTCTTCCTTAACTCTTGCATTTATGTGCTGATTTGCTCCTATCCATTGATCTTACCGGCCTCCGGATCCAATTTCAGCGCTGCATAGGCAACTTGGCTCTGAGTGGCCCCTCCTAACGGCTGCCCCCCACCCTCTTTTTTCCTGTAAATAACCCCTGAGATTTTATTCCATTTGTCTGACGAAGTGTGCTTTGCACATGAAAGCTTACATTTTGAATAAAACTTTATGAACATAAAAGAACCCAATGTTGGATCAGGCCAATGGCCCATCCAGTCCAACACTCTGTGTCACACAGTGGCCAAAAATACCAGGTGCCATCAGGAGGTCCAGCAGTGGGGCCAGGACACTAGGAGCCCTCCCACTGTTGCCCCCCACCCAAGCACGAAGAATACAGAGCATCCCTTGCCCCAGACCGAGAGTTCCTATCTATACCTTGTGGCTAATAGCCACAGATGGACCTCTGCTCCATATGTTTCTCCAATTCCCTCTTGAAGCCGTCCATGCTTTTACAGTTCAGCAGAGCCTGCAAGATGGAGCCCTTCCGCCAGGCTTTTAAATAGGAGCTGCCACTACCACTGTTGCCATCAATGATTCCATCGAACTTCTGGAATTTAGGACTGACCCAGATGCATCGCCAGGCCTGTATTTGCTCAAGGGATGATGATTGGAAGGACAAGTGAACTTAGATCTGAAGAGTGCGCCATCTAATTTGTCAGCACTGTGAGCACTTTATTAACTGTTATGTTATGATGTGATGAGTTAGCTGTATTTTATCTAGTTTTAAATTTTATGGCTATGCCAATTAGGTACATTGTACCGCTTTTATTAGCCGCCCTGAGCCTGTTCGCAGGATGGGCGGGGTATAAATATAATAAATAAATAAATAATAGCCGCCGTCACCTCCTGCGGCAGTGAATTCCACGTGTGAATCACTCTTCGGGTGCGTTCAGACGCGGCCT